CAATAATGAATTATTGTTATTAGTTTTTAAGTAAATTTTTGTAGTCTGTATTTATTAGAATTTGTTTTTTTTCTATATCTTTTATTATTTTCATTCATTCATACAATCTTAATTGTTCATGCTGGTGAGTCATAGTTATAAGTTTTCAAATATCTAGGATACTCTTAGAGCGGGATTCCGCTGGCACACTAATTCTATATAACCAGAAACTGTTTGACTGACATAGATAGATGAATACTAGGTAGAAAGCAGGATCCCTCGACAGAGAAGGGTTGGGCCTTAAAATATATCTGACTCTAACAAACGAGCAATATACAGCTATAAAAAAACTATTTCACTTGGGTGGAGATGAGATATATTGAACAGACATATCTGTACTCTTACTTCGTACGTTTGCGTTGTCAGACTACACACGGAAGATTTGAAGTAAATCCGAGTTATAAATGATTTTCTTTTATATGAAATTGTGCCAAATTCCTTTGAATTGTGAAGATGAAAAAGTTTGTGACCTGTTAATGTGAAAATCTAGTTAAAAAAACAAAAATTATATTTTCTATTGTAGTTTGATTATAAAATATTCTTATTTTTACTTAATTCATATTAAATAATTTTGCACTAAAACAACGCGAGCTTGTATAATATTTATTTATGAAGTTTAAGATATAGGTTGAAAAGGTTTTAATTTAAAAAAAATGTATGCTCATGTGTATTGTTTTTATAAAAAATATAGTCACTTTTGAGAATGAGTTAATTCATTCACTGAAGAAATTGCTGCAATGCAGTTGCTCATTTAACGTTGAACGTCAATCTACATATTGAAAAAAAATATTAATGCTCATTTTTAAATAGTATATTTTTCTTTTGCGATATGAATAACTTTCTTGTTTATCTATTTACATAAAATATGTATTCTGTTGTTAAGAGTTGTCTACATATGTATATATGGGTATTAGTATGTACAATTTATTTTAAATGATTTTGTTTTTTATTAAAATACGACTGAAGAAATATAATTTATTTGCACTTTTGTATTACAATGTTTTTGTCTAAGCTAAAATGAATTGTTTAAAAAACTGTACCTTTTTTTGTATTTGTATTGAGAAAAGAAATAAATAACTTTTCACGATTATGTTTTTAAAACTCGTCAAAGGAATTTAGATGCTGAGTAAAATTACATTTATATTTGTAGACTATCCAACATCTGTCGACTGAAATGTGTTTGTGTTTCGTTGGCCCAAATATTCAGTCAGCTGGGATAATGAGGTTTTAGTACATAAACCGAAAAATATAATTACTAGTGGGATCTTAAAATTTAAGTAAAAAGTACACAGAAGCAGAACTAAGATATGAAATATTTCATAATTATAAATTTACATATATTTGTAATGTTGAAATTCAAATAAATAATAAGTAAGATAAAGTATTTGCTCATTTGTTACATAATTTTATAAATATTTTTTTGTATAGGCTACAAACTCTATTCTAAAGAAAATATTATATAAGCGTATGTATGTAACAATGTAGCGATGTAATGTAACAAACGTAATAATAATACTTATTATTTATTATGTTAGTAATTTACATTATACATCATTAAGAAGCAAATAAATTTTCAGGGTACTTAAACGTGTAATTTTTTGTGACCTAAAAAGTATTAATAAGATAACTTTATGTTGTTGAGCTCAAAGTTATAATGGCCATAATTTTCGTCAAGTACGTACATACAATATTGAGAAAAGAAAACCAGCAAAGGTCGACATAAAAAGGTCAACCTACAAATAGAGTAGGATTGATTCAAAATATAATATTAAGCAAAGTACAAAACAATAAAAAAATTACAAAATTCAAAATTTTTTATTCATGTTTTTAAGTCAAACTCTTATAAAGTCTTTACCAGAAGGCCTATATTATGAAAAAATTGAATATATATAATCTTGCAATTATTTTTGTTGCAAAAATTAATTCACACCTTATTAATTTCGAGTAAATATAATAAAGAGTTTCATGTTTGGTAATTTTAAAATACATGTTTATTATTTAGAGTGCGTTTCGCAGCAACCAGAAGTTCCAGGAAAACTACGAAACTTTCTATTATGTGTATTATAATACGAATTACTTACCAAAATTTATCTATTCCTAATTCCTAAGACTACATGATTGCCTCAATGTTAGGATAGCAATGCCATTTTGCTTGTGTAATATTAGGAATCTTTTAGTTCATACGACCTGGTGTTCGTTGTTCGTTCGTGTGTTCGAGTCAGCAACGTCACACTCGTTATACGATATTTTATCCAACCAACGATGTTGTTTACGTAATGAGATGTATTGCCTTTTTAGATAATTAATCAATATGTATTGCTTATTATATATATAATATTATTCATAGCAATATATAAAGAAAAACTTTTTTGAACCTATAATTAGAGCTACAACAATCGCTAAACTATTGCTTCCAATAGGTCATCGAGCCTGAGTGATTTGTTTCGGAACTTTGTTATCGGTTGTCAGCGAGTATTTCAAATGTATTTTGCCCTTTCAAAGTAGTTTAGGGATTATCTTCTAACAAGCAAAGTTATATGGATAAGTTTTTTGGAGGCCATTTTGAGGTTTAACCTCGGAGTAGACACTTAAGAACGATCCAAGTTAGATTAAGAATAAAAAAAATTTGCAGATGCTTGTTTTGGGCAATCTTGCATTCATATTTTTATTAAAATTGGAAACAATTAATCTTTAAAATAATTTACCACTTTAATATTTTATTTTTGATATAAAGAAATATCTTTTTCAGGTTTATGACCTGAAAATCATAAAAATCAATGAATTAACCTTGTATGAAATTTTTATTCCAAATACGGGTATACTACCCCCGGACAGATTTTTTAATATATTATGTTTTGTTTTTTAACCGGTATAAAAATTATTTCTACCTCTTATAATCTGATAAAAACATTTAATTCCCAATGTTATCGTTTTTATTTCGAAAATTCATTAGAAATTAAAGTATTGAAAAGTATAAATAAAAATTCTATTTTATATAAAATAAATAATACACATTTCAACATTATTTTCTGAAGGATAAAGTTAAGATGGCGACCGATACAATAAACATAAGAAACCTTTTAACGTTGTATGCGTTGTTCGTAAAACCAAGCAATTCTATTGGACAATTCGATTGCCCGTCACCTATTACTGAAATTTCGAAACGTATAAGTTTAATGAAATCCTTTCAGATGTACATTCGCTTTTAGGAGAACACGTATTGTTGTATTTGCTCTCGAACGTCTAATAAAAAAGTCTTATAAAGAAAATTTTATTTACAGTTGTGTGGATAGATGGACTTATATATTCTGAGACTAAAGAAAATGTGGAAAGAATTTTCATTTATATAATTAAGTATATGAGATGAATATGTTATGAACAATTATACAAGCTATAATGGTCCAGGAGTTTAAAACCTCATGACAATCTTCCATATGCTCTAGTTTATCTCTATTCCTATGATTTGAGGTCTACTAAAAACAAAATCCTTAAATAGTTGTTCAAAAACTGATAGCGTTTATATGCGTTTATTTAAATGATTTGACGTGTGGAATTCCTATGAGTGAGGAACGCATTTTCAATGAAATAGGGTGTAAAAAAGTTTTTCATTTTTAGGTGATTCGGTAAATAGCTTGTAAGTAGGTAAGTAATAAAAAGTGTTCCTTTTGAAGTTAAGGCTGGCATAATATAATTTTGTTTTAAATACCATCAGTTAATTAACTGTAAATAGAGATATTCAAAAACGTCATTCTGTGCTAATAAACATTGAAAAGTCTTATAGAAGTTTTCATCTTGTTAATGGATGTCCATTAGTCGATAGGTATTGCTCTCGCTATGAAACTGAATATCAAGCATTTTGTACATATGTACATATATCTTAAGATATTCTTTAGAAGTTACATTAATTCTTTGGTTCTAATAAAAATTACTTCTTAAAAAACTATTATATCATCATTTTGAGATATATTTAAGGCTGTATGATTAATAAGTATTGTATATTAGATATATTTTTTTATTCGTTTTTTTTTCTTCCTTTGAGTGAAATTCTATAGTTGGAACCATATATAGTGAAAATATTTTCATTTCATTTCAAAAGACTTACAAAAGAATTTAATACCAAAAGGACTAAGCAAAACAAAATAAGGTTTATATTTATGGATAATAGAATGAAAATATAATTTGTAATGAATCTGAATGAAAATTTGAACAATCGTATACCTTATATAATAGCTCTTAATTACCTTCTGTTAATTACCTTCAAGTATAAGATTCGATTACCTAACGCTATAAGCAACACAATAACCTCAATTAGCTTGAATGATGTGTTAATAATAGTTAATTACTTGACTAATTCAATACACTGAAGGTTTATGAAACATATAAATTTGATCCTTTGAACTAAGATCTTAATCATATTTATGGATTCACCGTATTTATGCGAAATAATAAATGTTTTCTTTTTATTTGATTAGATTAAAATAATGTCAACTAATATGATTTAATACTACATTTTCGCTTGTTTATCTGTATTTTTAATATATTTTCTGTTAAATTAAGATTCAAATATAATCAGGAGTTAAAAATTGCTTTTTTTTTTTTTTAATACAGTTGATTTGTCGAAACATATACGAGTATTAAAGACGCATTTTTCAAATTTACGAGTATATGTACATGAAATGTATTTGCAAAAAAAAAAAAAATTGGTACTCATTTTTATATAAATGTGCCTTTTTATGGTCTCATTAATTAAGACATGGTTTTTTTATTTGACATTGAAATCTTGTTACAATACTTAATTATTTCCTTAAAATATCATTTTGTACAACAATTTTATTTTTAGTAATCTTAGGGAACTTACATTAGAAATAAAACAAGAGTTTTCGTTGTAGTATTTGTAGTCTTCAATTTAAATCTATAAATTTATATCTAAAGTTATGTACATTATCACCAGTGCAGAAGGTTCATGGAGCATCATCACCTCTAAAAGGCAGATATTGACGTCTGTATATAGGTCTACGTGGTTGGATTAATACCGGCTCAATAGAAGATCTGGACTGTGCTACTTGAACATTTGCCTGACCTACTGGAATGGGTGTGACAGAATAACCAGCGGCAACTAAAGCAGCAAACTCCTCCTGGGTATACGCTTTATTGTTTCTAGGTGGAGGCAAACGAGCTCTTTGCTCGTCAATGCTTTGGATGTGCTGATTACCATTGCCTTGATCAGGGCTAGGCTGCTGTTCCATTCTATATTTTTGCTCTCTTGGTGCTTCCAATTTGGAAACTTGTTCAACTCTGAGCGCAGGCCTTAACACCTTTTTGGGAGCTACATTTTTGCTTACATAAATTGCAGATAGTGGAGTTTTAGATGGTTCGAGGCTACGAGCTTGATCTGCTGGTCTTAACGCTGCTGGTGATACTTCATATCTAGGGTGTTCATTTGATCTATATATTGGACGAAGATAGTACTGATCAGAAACTTGGGATGGTCTTTGTAGTAAACTTTCATGGAGGTTTTGTTCCGACACAATAGGTCGTTGTTTTCCGCGTCAGGGAATCTTTTGAGATAAGTTAAGGATCTTTCATTTGTTAGTAAACGTGGTTGTTCCTGTCTAAGCGATTGAGTTTTGGGAGCTTCAACAATTCTGTATTGTTTTGGTGTTGCCTCTTGTTGGTATTGAATCCTATAGTTGTATTGGGGATTCAGCTGTTGTAATTTTGGTGGGGGCACAACTTTGAGGCCCTGAGATTCTGGTCTCTCATATATTGGTTGTTGGACAGCTGTTGGAGCTGGTTGATGGGTAACATAACGAAGTGTCTGCGGAACTCTTTGATTTTGAACTATTGGAACTAATTGTTGTTGAACCTGTTGATGATGATTTTGTACGTTTGTAGTTTCAATTAAGTATTGCTGTGGTGCTGCGGATGGTTGTGCTTGAACAAGTTGCGTCTTCGGTCGCAATTTTGTCGGCTTCTTGCTGGTTTTTGGAACATAAGGAATATCCACCTAAAATGCAAAATATAATAAAAAATATTGTTATGATATAATAAAACATGCATGATTGTTTAATTAACTTGCTTTGTTTGAAATACCTGTTGATACTGAGGAGCGATATTTTGGGTTTGCAATTGTGGGGTTTGTTGAGTTTGTTTATAATATTGCGCTCGTATTTCTTCTTGTCCCGGTATATATCCCAAATATTCTAAAAGTTCTGGAGTTAACGCTTCTTGAGAACCCGGCACCAGAATCACTGACAGCTAATGCAGCTCCTACAGACGCTTCACCGCCATTGGATGAGTAATGGGGTCTTGCTATAACTGCATGGGATGGTTGAAACGCTACCTGTAATATATGAATAGTTACTATTTTATATATTTAATCTCATTTATGGCCAATTTAAATCGCCAAAAATTATCAATAAGTATTTCTTACTACTAATGTATAAGTAATCTTTTAATACTTATGTAATAATCGAAAAAAAAAAAAAAATTCGGAGAAAAAACAGATTGATTACCTGACGACTAAGTTGAGGTTCTAAGTAATAGCTTTGTTGAACATTCTGTCTGGCATCTTGTTGAGAATTGCTGTACAGTTGTTGAAGCTGTTGATTGCCTTTTATTGGATTTTTGCGCTCAGGCTGGAGTTCAAGAAGTTCTTGAACGTTAAGGGAAAATACTTGACCTGGACGATATTCTTCAGCAATATTTCTATAATACGTTAAAAAAATAAAATTATAAATTTTTACGACGCAATAAAGGGGACATGCTATCATTAAAATAAAATGTATGATGTATAAAAAATTATTATTGTTCTTATATAAGTCTGTTCACATTCCTATAGATGTCTACTAATTATAAAACGAGCCTATTGGAAAGGAAATAGCTATCTTCGGAAAGTAAATTAATCACTTAGTACGTACATAGCAGTGCTGAACAAATCACGCAATTTAGATTCGGTTCGGTTGTTAGAGAAAGGTTCATTTCATGAGTGAAATTAATTGTTTTTTCCCACACAATTTCTCAATAGTTAATGTGGAGCTATTTGTTTATTAAATATTGTGCAATTTTTATGTTTAATATGATATAGAATCAGAAAAAGTATAAAGAGATAAGAATGTAACCAAATAGAATATATATAGTAAGAAAATTAATTTATTTATCAAGAAAATTCAATACCGTTTTCGCAACTGCATTATTGCTTCATACAGTTTTAGATCTTTGACATTTCTAGTGCTCATATTCAAGTCATTACTACGACTTGCTAAAAGAGAATTAACCTTTATGAAGTTGCATCATGATAATTTCATATAGTTGCATCAGTCATATTAAAGTAATTTAGATTATTTAATAAACTATTGCTAAGGAAAATATATATTTAAATAACATATATTACTTCTAAACTAATAATAATTAGTTTGGGTTATAAATAGAATAGATAAATTACTAAAATCCAAAAATAACTTTTTGTGTTATTAGTAATAATTTTATACTAATACTATCACGAGATTTTATTCATATTATAATATAAAGAATACAAACCAATAAACACTTTTTCATATTTAATGACATAAGTTATATAATATATCATGTTACATATATTTACCGGTTGTCTTGTTTGTCGTCTTCTTGGTTTTCTTGTACGGGAGCGACTTGTTCCTAAAAAAAATTAAGGTTATAAAACTTCAATTTTACGTTATAAACATAATTGAATCCTACTTCTTAAGTTTAGTATATTGCTATACGGGGATTCGAATGTGGGTGTGTTTATTATAGATACCTTATAATAAAATAAAGCTCTTCAATAAAATTATACACGTTAAGTATGCTAAGAACGATTTTTATGAAATCTATATCCAGAAAACCATAAAACAAAATAACTTATAAGTCAGATCTTACATACGTGAAGATATATTATTATCATGTTTGACTAAACTATAACAATATATATCGGAAACTTCATCAGAAGTACTTTATTATATGTATAAAGTATGTATTTGTCTTGCTTAAAGATTTATTATATGATATATCTTAGAAATCGTTTCCGTCAATTGTATATAAACATAATTTTCGTAATCTCAAATTAATTATGAACAAAGTAAGTGTCATAACGGATTGTTCTGTAATTATGTATTACATTGGATGCGCGTGCGCTGGTGAAAGGTTTGAAAATAAACGTAGGACATTTAGCAATAACGGGCGTCCCGTGCATTTCCGTTACGTTACATAAGAATATATTTTAAAAAAGACAAGTAAAAATGAATACTCTTTTAGATATACATAAAATATTCACATGAAAATGTAGAAAATTTTGCAGTAAATGTTTTTATACAATAGTTAAAGGGTGACACATTAATTGGCTTGGTGAAATGGCTTACCTATACCTCTTATTAAGATGCTTAAGACAAATCCAGGCTATATACAGTCAATAATGACATTATTATGGCTCAATATTTTTAAAATGGACTCTGTGATTGTTAAAACTAAATTTTGCAATATTTTTAGTCCGTCTATTCGACGTTTTGATACAAAAAATGTAAATTGTATAATAAGTTTAAAATAAATAATGTTTATCTGTACCTACATTTTGTAGACAAAGGAACTGGTTTTTGATAACGTTATTACCATCTTTACAGCAAAGTATGACTTGTTATTAGCAATCTACAATCACTAGTTAGTTTAAACGCAATTACAATTTTGAGGTCAGCATCAAAACGGTTTCGGTTTCAAAAATAACTTTCTCCACAAAACTATGACATTATGGCCTATTCGTTTAATAACCAAGGAAAGTAACGAAAACCTATTATTACCTTTGATGGTCAACTATTATAAAAACATACATACAAAACATATATTTGGGGTTTAATTACAACATTTCTAGTATCCAGCAACATTTTCTATTTATATTTTTATACGATGCTTGATCCTATCAATTCCTATGAATCCCATGGATGTAATAAAAGAGATTTTTCTATATATAAGATTTTATAAAAGAAGCTACTGAATAGAATGAGATGAAAAATGTAATATATGTTGCTATATTGCTTGAACATATTTGCCATTTTTATTAAGGAACTAGTTTGATATTTCTTGATGAGAGTAGTGACGGAATATCAGTTTAGTTTGTATAGCGACATAATTATTTTCATTGTATTTGGACAACAAGAACGTGTCTCTGTTGAGCGGTATTTTGCCCTATCCCTTTCACCACGATCCGCTTAGTCACGAATTAACAATGCCTTTATTTTCCACAACCATGAATCATGATAACGTTTTAGCTTTACTCTATATCAACATCGGATAAGACTGTTTGAATTGAGGGCGTAATTATTAATAACAATATCAATTTGTGTAAGATTTAAAAGATGAGTATACTGTAGTGTAAATGAAATTACACATATATATCATAAAAATATTTAACATAATTAATTCATAAGAAGAATTGGGTATATATCTCATTATAATAGGATAACATTGTTCATTGTCTTAGTAGGTTAAAATTGTTAAGATGTTTGAAATTGATTGGCCTGATGACAAAAATTTGGTAAAGTATATAAAGATCATGTAAAAATACTAAGTATAATCACATATTCAAATGGATAACAATTACAAAATTAAAGATCATCAGTAGGATAACATTATAGCAAATGTAATGAAGCGCGGACGAATGCATTTGTTAATGATGGAACGTTTAATATCAGATTGCTCTCACAGATAAATCTTACTAGCTAACAGACATTAACTAATTGAGTTTAAATGCTATCATTTACTCTATTAAATAAAAAATGTATAGAAAGTGATTTAACAATATCAAGTTTTTTTTGCGTTTCATAAGTTTTTAAATATTTTTAAGTTTATTGATTTGACAACTGTTCTCTTTTTTATCGATAGTATACAAATGATATATATAAAAAAATATGAGATAAATATGCACATTCTAATGTAATACATAAAAATAATAAAAGGAAAGACAATAAAATAAGCTATTTCGATAAATCCATTCGTGCTTGCAACGTGATGCATGAGCACACAATCATTGAAAACTATTAGAATTTTATTTTCATTGCATCTGGTTATAATATTTGATCATAGTCGTAAAAAGCAAGAATGAAAAGCAGTGTTATTGTAATAAAAAACTTGTTAATTTATGAGTTGAAGTTTTTAAGAAGTTATTATTTATTATACCTGTTTTCTAGCTGTTCTGTAAACAAGTTCCTCAGTTTGTCTTTTGTCCTTGTTGGGTGCTTCGTTTTTGTTTTCTTCGGATCGAACGCACAGGGCGAGGGCTGAAAGAAATATAAAAACTTTATAAATTACGTTCAACAACATAAAAAATTGCACATATTATAAAAATATACTATATATTATGTATGGACCATATCTGTATCTATTGAGGGACCAATTTAATTGTTATAAAATTATATAGAATAAAATATGTTTAATTTCAAAAACAATTAATCTCTACGGCCTAAAAATATCTTTGGTACTCAAACAGGTTAATTGGAGTCCTCCTTGAGCTAATATTTACTAAACATAAAATGTCAGAAGATCTCTACAGATATCTCTGTGTCCTATACCTTTAATTATTACGTAATCGTCTTAAACTGTATGTGGTTTATTGATATGCATTAAAATATATTTTAGTAAGACATGTATAATATGTCAACTCAAAGATTAAACTCACTCAGATACAGATGATAAAATGTTTGAGAATTAAAAGCTATGACTTTACATAATTTATATGTTATAATAGATCTGTTTGTTTAGGTCAATTATCAAGTAACGCAATACGCATCTTTAAATGAAAGCGAATGGAATAAATTGTATGGGTATATGACAAAACATAACCGTTTTAAAATTAATGTCAATAATGAAGACTATTTGTGGTCAAGAGAGTTATGCAAAATGTATTCAGTCAACATCGAAAGGCTTAAGTTCAAATCCAAGCCGGTAAGTTAACCTCCTTAGTCCGAGGAGCTTGGTGATTATACTTTACCTACGTTTGAATTATATTATTGCAACCATTGCAAGGCTTTGAATCAAATGAAGTAAATAAAATGTTTAATAATTATTGTATTCACAGTGTTGCGATACCAAAATTTTGTTAGGTTTTCTTTCAATTAAAGATTTTTTTTTTATTTCAAAAAGTCCGTATGACCATAAAATATGATAATTAAATTTCTTTGAAATATTATTCATATATAATCCAAACGCTATAAAATATTGTAATGGTACGACTTTATTTAGGTTCTAAAACTTTATTTAAATATTATTAATTTTAGTCTCAATCCAAATGTAGATTCGTTTAAATATATAATTATAGAAAGAGCATCATATGAATCTATAAGTAATTAGTTATAACTAATCTATACGTAAAATTTGCAATTACCTATAAATAGTGACGAGGTATTCAGAGCAATTCAAGATTGGAATACCATTTGCCGAAAGTATCTTTGGGGCCAAATTTGAGACGTTCGGATGCCCTTTAGGATTCAGAGCAACGACAAATTTTGTACTTAAAAGGGAACGGACAAGTAAGAGGCTAACATAGAATTCTAATAGCTAACTTCCTGACTCCAAGGCCGCTAGTAATAGGGTTGTCAAACGGGTTGTAGTAATAATTTAATCAGCAGTGTCAATACGAATTGTGTAGTCGAAAATCATTAGCTTGTTGCAGTAATATTTGTGTATGAAATATTTCTAGTCTTTATAAATAATAATACATATTTCGTAAAAACGTATATTTGGGGTCGTATTAATAATAATTGTATCGACTGTAAAATGTAGTTATCATTAGATGTAAACTATTCTGTTATTTTGTCTTAAAAACATCTATATTTTGTCATGTTCCTAAGCTAGGGCATATATTATGACGTATGTTAATATTAGTGTTCGATAAGATTAGTTTTAAATTGCACAACAAAAACAGTAATAACAAAAATATCAACAAAGAAAATATCTTAACAAACAACCATATTTTATAATAAGTTAAGAAAGATATATTTTTTCAATCAGCAAATATTTACATTACTCATTTATTTCAATGAACGTTAATATCGTCTTTCCTACCTATAAAATGTATTGAAATACAAACAAGTGTTAAATGTCTTGACACAATTCCCACAGTTCTTATAATGTCATCAGAAGATAGTGTATTCTTTTATAGTGTTATAAGTGTTGATCGTTAGAGTCGAACGTTAAAATATAATTAGGAAGCTTTCTCAGTATATTCTATATATAAAAAGAAAAATATATTCTGTTGGTTTTAATTGCCTGCTTAGCACTAAGTGTTTCACACTTCGCAACAACTCGAATAAATAGTTGTATCTCAAGTATTAATGATAAGCAAATACATTTAAACTCGACGAAGTTATGCCTTCATAATTTTGTTACGTCTGCAATCAAGTCAGTCAATTATGAAATGTATTTATTTTTCAATATTTACTTTAACATGCAATGCATTCGAAAGACTTTAAATTTATTTGTACATTACATCAATATGTAGATTTACGAAAATTTTAATTATTCAATAATGTGCATTTTAGTCATTTATATTTATAGTACAAGAATTGTTTGTATTTAAATTGTATACGAAGTGCAAAACTGAGCTTTACGGCTTAATAGCTTTTGGAATTAAAAAAGAAAGTGCATAAGTCCAGGGTCGCAGAACGGTTATGGACTATTGGATTAATTCTCTCACTTCGCAATCAGCAAACTCAATTTTACTTTGTTATGGAACTGTAACTTTTATTCAACATTGCTTTCCCTTTATTTTTCAAAAAAAAATATTTGCGGTATAAAATTAAAACAACTTTTAATTATTTATTGAAATGCCCAAGTATTTTTTGTTATACCTTCTTAATAATTTTTATGGTAGCTTCTCATTTTGCTAGCTGTGCTCCTAAATTAATGATAATAATGCAAAAGGTGACTAATGAAACCGTTATACGGAAAGTTGAAAGTGTTGCGTGCTGCATCGCGTTCCTTGCTAGTAAAAGTAAAGTTCCTAACGCATTTGATATAACATTATTTGTATAGTCTTTGTGGAACATTGATAATTCATATATTAAAAAGAAATTTAAAGGTAATAAAACCTGACTAAATAAAATAAATTTTACTGATAACATTTCTAAATGTATTGCGTAACACTTTGATCGCAATAAAAATGTATATTGAAAATTAATAATACCACTTAATATTATTCAATACTATTTGATCACATTGCGATATAAACGTCTTCAATTGCCATATTAATATGATTTGTATGATAGCAGTATTAGTTAGATATGAAAATACATATATGTTTTTTTTACATATGGATTTTCTTATACAAATAATAACGGTGCCGACTCATCCGTACACTAAGCCCTTAATCAATCTACCTTAGGTTCACTGACATCGGAAAACAACTTAAGGGAGCCCATATTACGAAATGAATATGGAAACAGGTCAATGATTTGCAAATCTTTCGACGAGTTGATAAAAGGTACTTCTGATTTTACTTAATACATTAAATAATATTTAGTTTATATATTTACATTTTCAATAAATTTGATTAATGAAGTAAAAAAAAAATATATGGTAACAAAAAATCGTAATTAATTTTGTTCATTTCTTTCAAAAACTGAACAGATTTTAAACATTACTTTTGTGTTCAATATTATTGTTACTCTAGGGACGTTCGAATTAATATTATATGAAATAACTAAGTGTGGTTTTGAATATTTTTTGTTATAATAACCAATGTTCATACAATATATAATATATTTGAAATTACTATTGTACATATATAGTAACCTATAGAAAATATTGTATTTATTATATATTGTGTAAAGATATTAAGGTTTTGTCATACAATACTATTCAAGAGATGAGCAAATAAAGGCAAACCTATCTATTATCGCTTTACGCAAAACCAAGAATGTTATGTAAATTTAATATGGAAACTGAGGTGATTGATGTATATGATTAAAACTTGCGTAATATTAATTTATAACTTTCAAATAAAGGATTCGGAGAATCTCATTGCTATACTGTCAACAAGATAAGCGATATAGTGTCAAATTGATTTAATTGTTACATACGCTTAATAGATTAAAATTGTTTATTTGTATTGCTTTTCATAAAATTAAGTAAAGCTACATAAAATGAATATCAAAGAATAGAATAATTATTTATTTCATATAAACAAGAATCAAATTCTCGATTTATAGTAAATTATATTTTCATCTGAGTAACATCAAGCAATTTAGCTTTGTGTAGTTTGAAATGAACATCATTAGAACTATGTAGATGAAAACGTATTTTTTACATTGCGAAAGCGATAAAAGATATTTGTGATAGTATTTTTTATTAAACTCATACTAAAATCTGTAAGTATAATTCGTATTGTAATAGAATCTAACATCTCTATTATGAGTGATAAACAAAAAATCGCAAATTTATGTTGAACAATTAAACAGCTGCTAAGAAAACAAATTGTATCAGAACTACTTAAGACGAATTTATGTAAAGTATTTTTCTGGAAACTTTAGTTAATCGATCTGAATAAACTTAAATTATATAAATTTTCTTAAAATATTATTAAATTTTACCGATGCAATAAATAAAAAACCTCTATATAATGCAAAGATAAATTTATAATCTATATTTCTAGCATCAATTTGTACGAATCGTTTGGCTTGTTATTTTATCCGCCGTTTAGTTATTCCATGAGCATGTTCTCAAACGTTTGTTCAACGTTTTCACGGTACGTTTATTAACAAATTACGCTTTGAAAATTTAATCAAAATAAATTTTATAATACTAATGAACTTTCTACGGAGTTTCTGATTTTAATGTTTTATTTGAACGTTGTTTATTTTGTCATGTGAGATGAATATCTGATGAGATTTAATTTTAAATTCATTTAATTTAAATTTACAGTATTGTTACTGTAAATAATTGTAAAATTACAGGTTTTATTTCACTGCTTCATAATAAACACAATTTTTTCTTAAATCACGTTTTAATTTGTAAGAAAGTAATAATCAGGTTATTCGAAATAAACTTTATTAAAGCACATTTCTTATAATAACTTAGATAATCTTATATATTATAATAATACATATTTATATATTATTTAAATTGAATTATGACTAAACTTTTCACTCCTAGCATTAGCGTCAACAATAAAAATTAATTCTGATAGCTCATAACATACTTACTTTAATATTCCTACTTTATTTAACTGAATCAATGAATCAAAATAGTTAAAGACAAATAATTTTAATATATTTATACGAACTGAATATATATAAAAAACATATCATGTACTCCTTAAT